AAACTCTTTGGAGAACATATTTAAGTCGATATTTCTTCAAAGAAAGGCATCATTCTTTAAATATTGACTTCTAGATTTGCTGTGTTTTGTTGATTATTCTGGGTAGGGCTGCCTACATTTCTCTGTTTTTTTTCTACTTCCTCAGTTCTGTCTTGTCTCAAAAGAACTAGCAGACCAGAGATAGCTTCATGGATCTAATACTTACCTGGTGCTAAAGGCTTACCTAGCCATCAACATCACTGTAGCAGTCTCAACATCTGTAAATTATTTTGCAACACAGCCACTGAACCTAGTTTAAAATTCTTAATATTAGAAATACTTCTAAAAGTGAAAATAAAGGCAACTATGAAGTGTAAAGGCATCTGTATAGTGGACAGTCCCCATTAAATTCCTGTTTGTTTAACTGAGATTAAGCAGAGCTCTGATGATTCATACGTGAATGCTTGGCTTCTTTTATGCTCTGATAGACCTGCAAAGACCATCCCCAGATGCTCACCTAGAGAGGGTGCTAAAGGAGTTATAATAGAGGGTACTTGGGAAGTTGCTAAAAGAAACAGAGTAAGAGCTAACAAGACAAAATTTAGTGCTTTACAATTTTGTCTTTAGCCATAATAGTAAATCAACCTGGTGACTTTGTCTTGGCACTGACTGATTACAGACACAAAGGGTGACAGGCTACTATCCACTATTGCTGCAGAAATGTGAAGTATACACAGTTTACAGGTGGCTATTTCAATATGGCAGATTTGTTGAATAGCTTGATGAATGTCCTATAATAATATATATTCCAACTCACTCATAAAATATGCACCCATGTTTTTAAAACAGATCAAAACAGGCAATACATGAGTGGATTAATAAAATGTGGTATATGTATATCATGGAGTTCTACTCAGCCATAGAAAACAATGGTGATCTAGAACCTCTTGTATTATCCTGGATAGAGCTGGATCTCATTCTACTAAGTCAAGTATCACAAGAATGGAAAAACAAGCGCCACATCTACTCACCATCAGATTGGTATTAACTGACTTAACTGACCAATAGTTAAGTGCACATATAGCAGTAACATTCATTGGGTGTCGGGTAGGTGGTAGGGGGGAAGGGGGGTGGGTATATTCACACCTAATGATTGCAATGTGCACCGTCTGTGGCATGGATAATCTTGAAGCTCTGACTCAGGTGGGGCAAAGGCTATATATATAACCTAAACATTTGTACCCCTGGAATATGCTGAAATAAAAGAAAATTGGTGATTATATTCTGTGTGAAATGTTTTCCTATGCATAGTCCTTCTCATTCTATATATTAAATGTAAAGATGAGAGTGCAAAGTAAATGCATAGCTACCTGAGACTGGTTTCCACAACTTTAAGCATGAATGTACTCTCACATATTTGTAGAGTATAATTATTGATTTTATAGTTAATATACTTTGAAAATAAATGCGGATATCCTTTATTCTTTACATGAACTCAATGCAAGCTAAAGATATGTGGGCTCTTTCAGTGCATCTAAAAACATCTTCCATTTAATGAAAAAAAATGGAGTAAGTTGTTCCTTTCAGAAATTGCTACTTATTAAAGGAAATACTTGAATGGTTAACTAACTCCTCAAAAATAATCAGGACTTTTCTTCACAAGGCAAGGAAGATTCTGACAATCTTGGAAATTAAGGCACCTGTGTCAAATTACTTCTGTAATAAAATTTGCAATCAAACCAAAATTACAATGAACATGTGTTTCTCCGGTTATGGGTTTGCATTCCTTAGCACTTACCTACAAACTTTCTTGCTATCTTGAACAAAATAACTTCTAAATAATATCTTAGACTAGATAACTTTTTGTATGTATTAATATTTCAAAAAACAAAACATTAAATATATTCTCAAGGTAGAAAAGCCTTAGTGAAACCACTGAATTTAATTTATTGCTATGCTTGTCATTAAACAAGCCACTATTATTTCTTTAGTTGTTATTCTTATTATTATGTTAGATCATAGACATTATAATTGCAATACACTTCAAGATGTCACATTCTAGCGAACAAAGTTGTCCTTTCATTCAATAAAACACTTGATGTCGAAGGAGGTAAATGATTTGCCCAAGGTTATATAGCTATAAAATCCATATGACTTTCCAACCCCTATCCTTATTGGAAGAGTGGTTCTAGAGTCAAACCTTTGTCCTAAAAGGTCCAACATCTGGCTGAATAATTTTAGGATCAGAGGTTTCTCCTCCTGACATGGATTCCCCTATCTGGTTGAAAGTTTCCACCTGCCTGAGTTGTTTTACTAGAAAGCTGGTCTTTGAGAACATATGGTAGACAAACGGAAGATTAGAAAGAAGGTGTTGTATGTTGTTTTCCCAGCTAGAGGCACTTCCTTGTGGATTTATTCTAACACAGTTGAGGGATCTCCAGCTTGATGGTTCAAAATGGAAAGCTTGGTGCAATTAAAACACTAAAAACTGGCCACAGGCATGCACAGCCACACACACATGCAAACTCAAAAGGGTACCTGCTCTTAATGCATATTCTTGTCTTCAAACCAAAAGTTTAATGAAAACCCAGATTCTTTTTCCCTGTTCAGTGAGGGAGGCAAAACTAGATAACTTCTAAGTGTGATTTCACGTTTATGGCTCAAGTCTTGGGCTGCAAACTCTTCATCTTTATGTATCACTCTGACGTTTGGTTTGAGCTCACCCTGATGGCCATATAAGTAGGCTGGCATTGTGCTTGGTCATAACTTGAGCAAATTCCTACCCACTGTCCTTACACTTATCTACTTCATCAATTTACATAATTTTCCAGGCCCCCTGATGGCACTGAGTTTACAGAGGGTGTATGTTGCCTCTGTGTGTGGTGGGTGGTGTGTTTTCTTTCTCTATCCCTTTTTTTTTCCCTTCTGTTTATTTTTTTTTTTTTTTGTTTGTTTCTTTGCTTGCCATAATTATTAGCTGGATGGACGTTTGTTTGTGGGTTGTGTGTGTTGGATTTGGTTGGTTATCTATCTATCTAGTTATTGCTTGCTCTCTTTCTTTGTTTGATTTCTTTTGTATGTAGGTCTGTCTCTTCCTTGTGGGTGGGTTTTTTTAATTTTTTTTTTTTTTTTATTTGGGGAGGAAGGGGTTTGGGGTTGAAGGTTTTAGGCCGTTGGGGGGCAGGTTTAACTACCACAGCACTTGGGATGGGGTAAGAACTCCACAAATATCTATTGGATGACTGAAGGAATAAATGAATGAACAAACATTCATTTGAGCTTGCTTTAATGAATGAACAAGTGCATGCTAAAATGAACACAACTAAATTGTTGTTTTATACTTGGGGAAAGGGTGGGTAGCGGGAGTTTAAGGATTGGTCCATTCTACATGGTCTGTTACATGAAACTCTCAAGGGTCCAACAGTATCAACTATGGCCTCAGTGAGTAACAAGAATCTGAGAAAGTGAATCACTGGGACAAGGATACTAGCATCAGGATGGAAGAAAGGAATTCAAGAGAAATACACAGGCATTATGACACCAATACCCCCCATCTGGTTAATAGCCACCAACAGAAGGCACCAAAGCCAAGTCATTCGTTTTTTATAATTATGCTAAAATTTTATGTTTAAGTGAAACACCATGCTGAAGCACATCTTCCTTTAACAAAGATTCTTGGCATTCTGCAGCAACTCGGAGCGCTCACATCGCTCCATTACATTGTACTGCAGATGTACAAATGAGGCAGTTAAGAGAAGGTTCCTGAAGAGAATGTTGGATAAGCCAGCTCTTACTGGGACATTTTCTTTTTCTTTTTTCAATTCTCTTTCTCTTCTCTTTCTCCCTCCTGGCTCCTTTAATTTCTTTCTCAATCTTTTCATATGTTAAATAAAAGCTGCAAATTACATTTTTTGACAGTTTATACATTTCAAAGTCAATATTTTTACAAAGATGATATGTTTCACAAAGTACCATGTTAGAACAATTGATACTGACATTTGTATAATTAGTCATTGTAATTACTTGACTACATGCCTCTGAAAAAGAGCTATTGTTAATCACATCTTATACATCAGGAAATAAGTTCGATATGTTTAAAGGGCTCATAAAATAACAAATCTGGGAGAGAAAGTGAAGTGCAAATAAATAACATTCAATAACAAGCTAAAACTTTATAATATCAGTTGATTCTCATATTAGTTCAATTCTATCCCAGAAATGACAATTTAGCATAATATTGTGCCATATATGGGTGGCCAGTCTTTGAGGAAAGACAGTTGGGTGGGTGGGTTGTAGCAACATGCCAGATTTATCTGGAAGACAGTGGGGAATTTAAAAAATGAGTCCTTTATCTCTGCCTTCCTTATTAGCACCTACTAAAGAGTAATAAATCTCCTGGGTATTGAAATAGTCCCCAGAGAAGAATTAAGCCTACTGATAATTTCTACATTAGTATTAAACTCTTTAATCTGAAGAACACAGTCCAAAGATCATTGCAAGGACATTTCTGAGGAGAAACTCAGAACGTAAAAACTTAAGGGAAAGAAAGGTAAAGAAGACAGAAAGAAGAGGTGTTCACATTTAGAGGCTTAGATCACTCCCTTTGGATCTGATCTTTTTTCTTTTTTTCTCAAATCCTCTCTTTCCATTCCATATAGTTGGGCTATCATCTACATATGGAAATTTCCAGGCTCACTTCTTCATCTCCAAAAGTCAAATGTTCCCTGCATTTATCAAACTGACAAACATAGTAAGTCTCTAAGTAGCAATGGAACCCAAAAATCTCCTTGGCATTCTCAATTCATATATTTTACATTTTCAGCTTCCCAAAAATACACTGCATGATATTTGAACTGCAGAATTACTGTGCCATTTGCAAAATGTCTGATTATGCTTTTCTACAAAATTCCAACCAATGCTAATGTGCCCTAAGATACCACATATTGCTACCCTCTTAAGGCATTTGAATGTGAAATTACCATCCACAATACCATCATAAGAGAGGAATAAAGACAGATTACCTGGGGTTAAGAGGATGACTGACATAGTGATGAGTGAGCATACAACTAAAATCACCAGCAGGGCAATAGCAATTCCCTTCCAGTTTCTCTGTGGAGGGCTGTTACTTCCCAGTTCCTACCAAGATAGAAAAAAAAAAGTTTCATAATTATACATGCTCCAAGAGAAATGTATTCATAAAGGAATGATTCAGTGCATGGCACAATCACAGTTTGAAAGCTCATTAGAATCCATTTCCTCTTCGGTAGTTCATTTAATTATTCAAAAGTGCATATATTATAAATGGCTATCTTTTGGGGGGCAATCTTATCTCTCTGTGAGATAAACCAGCAGAGCTTTATGCCTGCTGTCCAAAATGTAGATGGTGTTAAAATGCATTGACTATAAACACCAGGACAATAGACAAAATACTCTGCAAAATAATTATGGAAATAAAGTGTGTCCATTTACATTTATTCCTGCTACAATGGAACCTACAATAAAGATTTAAATACAAATATTCTTGAAGCATTACAGGCTACTTTTCTAACAGGATGAGGGAAAAGATTAGAAATTGGAAAATCATTCAAAATGCCCCTCACTGTGGAACAGTGCACATTTGTCAGCACAACAGGTCTTTTTTAAACAGTTCCCCCACCACTCATAAAAACCAACAGGATGTAGTAACTAAATTAAGTGAGTGCTTCTATATCAATGGTTAATGACATTTTCTTGCTGAGCAACATGCATGATATTGGCAAGAGGTATGATTGATGGGGAAAGATAGACTTGTACATCTCTCACAATACGTGCAGTAAAGCTATTCATTCTTCAGACGATCTGTGTTCTGCGCTGTGGACTAGAAATATGTGAGCATGATCCACCAGAGCAAAGCACAGACCACAAGGATTTGAAATGAATGCCAGCTTTTCTTTGCAGTAAACTTTATAAAATACCGAGACTCTCATTTCTTTCTATCCCCTTCCCCAACTGCTTTGCATCCTTTTCCAATCCAGAAGTAGCTAACTTATTTAGGGACGAATGAAACAAAACATGAAGGTATCTGGTTCCCTACATGTACACAAATCACCCAATAGGCCATACAGCAGCCCTGCTTTCAACAAAGATAAATACGATAGCAAATATTTAATACATTGCAAATGGGCTTCTGTGACTCAGATTAAAACATTGACGCTAATTTGCACAGAGTGATTTCAATATTGAGTTCTGCTATAAACACATTAGACTTAAAAAACCGGGCCCTAAATAAATGCAAGAAGAAACCACGTATAGGAAGTGTTTTGTTGTTTGTTGTTCCCCGTCTCAGCTCCATCACTCTAAGTTAGTCCTTCACTCTGAGGAACTAGATCCAATAGAGGTCAATTCCGCCCTTTTTACAAAATGATTCACTCCACACTTAGTTTTCATATAATGCTTATTATCCAACACCTCTATTCCTCTTGCATTTTAGAATTTCTATTCATATTTTCCGTGTAAATCAAGACAGTGGGTCCCCCAAGTCACCAGCTTTAGAGTAGCATCATGAAGACAAGCAATAGTTGTCTTATCCCATAAACACTTATCTGGAATGCAATGTTCCTGCAGATTCCCAGGTGGGTTCAGAATGTGGGTTCAGAATGTCCCTTCTTCAGAATGTGTGTGCTGTGATGGTCAGTGATTCTCTACGGTAAGGCCCTACTTAAGTCTACTCCAAAGCCAGAGTGACAGAACTAGAGAGGACACTGCCGTGAATCAAAGCCTACCATGGTTAGAAAGTCGTGAAACCCTCATCTTGAGGGCTGAGAGAGAGTGAAAAAGGGGCAGTAACCAACAGCAAGTGGGGGTCTGGGTCAAGAACCATAAACACTTTTGATTTATTAACTCTCAGGGAGGCAAGCAAATGGTATTATTTCACAATGTGAGAAAAAGGAAAATAGAATAAAGATTTAGCAATTATAACCAACTTTTCGGCCCTGTAAAAGAATCAACTATAAATTCAAATTTATAGTTTAAATTTTAACTATAACTCAGAATTACTGATTGTGATGCACCATCACTCTAATTCAAGACAAAGTATTAGAGAAATGACTTCTGACTGTGCTTTTTGGTTTTTGAATATGACAGAACCACGTGACGTCTAACACAGAGTAATAATAACTTAGATATCTTATTCTGTGTCTGGCACTATGCTATTTTATATTTGCAATATCACATAATCCTCATAATCAGATGAGATTACTGTTATCTTGGCAAATTTGTGGATGAGAAAAATGGACTTTAAAGAAATTAATAATATATCCACTTATTGCTAATAAGTTGAAAAGATGAAAATCTAGTCCATGAAATCTGGCTATAGGTTCCACACTCTTAACCACTATAATATGCTACTTCTAAATATAAATATTTCTAGAATAAGTTGTCTAAAGAATCCATAAATCAATAAATTATTTGGACCCCCACATAGTATAGTTGCGTATCAGTACCTTTGATTTTGGAAAATTCACAGTGATATTCTGAATTTAGTAACGCTATCCTGAATTCAGTAATGATTGCAAATAAATTTATATTTTCCCAGCCACAGCTGACTTGGGAAGTTTACCGTTGTAAAAATGGTAAAACATAGTTTAGTGAGAAATATTTTTTTCTGTTCATAAAGTGATACACATAAGAATGTGTGGCTCTTCTAAAATGATTCATCAATGCCCAAGGCATCTATATGCCCCTGCTTAAGAACTGCTGACTTAATGAGCTCTTTCTATAATTCTCTCCTTTCCATCCCCTTTACATCATCCTATTACCAAAACATTGCTAAAGCATGGTTTTACTTATGCTACTGTATTCTCCAAAGTTCTTTAACATCCCTACACTATCTAAAGAGTCAAGTACAACGTGTGAGTCTAGAAAAATAACTGTCTGTTTCCAAGCTCCAGGTTCCTCATCCAGCACAACCTCCTTTTGAAAAAGAAACCCTGCACCTCATGTTGCTCTGATTGCCATTTCCCCACATTGGCCTCAGGTGTTCCAACCATCACAGCACCATTCCACTCCTAATTCTGCTCCATCCAATCCCTTTCGTACTCCTCCAACAATAGATTACTGTCGCTCATTCAACATCCTGCTCCGATGTCTCTTCTCTTGGGAATTTCCCCAAGTTATGCAAGCCAGATTTGATTTTCCTTTCTCAGGGAAAAAAAAAAAAAATGAATGCCTAAAACACACTGCATGAACAGGTTTGAATCCAGCTCTGTTATTTAAGAGCTTTGAGATTGCAAACACACTTCTAAATTTTTCTGAGCCTCAGTTTGTTTTACTTTAATCTGAACAACTGAAATAATAATAACTATTTTCAAATGATGCAAGGATTGAAATGAATTTGCTCACACATATCTCTTACCTAAGTATACAATAAGAAAGTTTCACACTAAGTGAACTGCTTGGAATGTTTTCTTCCAATAGACTTGCACAAATCACCCTTTCTCATCATTCAAGTCTCGTCTCTAACATGCCTGCCTCAGGGAAGCCTTGTCTGATCACTGTCTCTAAAATAAAATTCCATGTCCTCTTTCATCCTCTTAATCAGCTTTATTTCTCATTGTAGCATTATCACTTTTGAGTATATCATACATGATATGTTGTATTTAATTGTTTATCTATAGTAATATATAGAAAGCTGCTTAAATGTCCATTTTACCTACCTCAGCTCTCCAAAATACAAGCTTCATGATGTCAGTAACCTAGCTCATCTTGTTCTCTGCTACATATCTACATTACAGACAGGTTTGGGACACACTGGTTGTGCCACAGATAATAATATAAAAAAGAATGAATGAATGATATAGAATAAAAATTAATTGATAAAAATTTCAAAATGAATGAATGATATCACAATGATGATGACAGTGGTGGTAGTGATGATTTCATCTCTGTCGAAGTTATTAACTCCTTAAAGTAAGAATTATGTCTTAGACAACTTATAGATTCCTTAGACCACTTAACAATCTCTGTTTCTCTTAATAGGTGCTTAGAAAGCAGTTGACTAATTAAGTGGTGTGGGTAGTCATCCTAATTGACTTTGCTTTTCAAAGACTTCCTACCACCCAACATCTGAAAGTAATCGATTGCACGTGCCGGGCCCACAGACTAGGTAGGATGCTATGCAGCAGCCTGAGACAAGGGACATATTAGGAGTTTGAACCATGGTCTAGATGCTCTGGAGGTAGAACAGAGATTATGTTGAGTTATGATATCCTTAGGAGAAGTTTGAATATTTAAAGACAAATATTAAATAATCTGTATATAGTGCTACTTTTGTAAATTAGTCCTCCAGTAAATGGATGCAGCAGTTGAAATGCTTGTGTCCAATATGAGGTTGATTTGTCCTGTGATTGTCTGGAGACATGTAGTCCTACAGACCAAAGTAAACTGAGTCTGTAACCCAGCTATTCATCATATAGCCACTGCCCAATAAATTACTCATCACCCTGCAGAGATCAGCTTAGCTTATAAGAAAAAGCTGACCATTATACAGATAGTTTATGTAAATTCACTTACATTTTTAATATGTTCCGGTGCAAAGAGAAAAATGCTGGAAATAATAAGCAGAAAAAAATGCAAGGTTTATGTATCATTTCATTTGCCAAAACAAGGGGGAAACGGCCTAACCATTAGATTCGCTTTTCTTAAAAAGGAGGTAAAGTGCAGGACTTTGAATTTTTTTGTATATTACACTTGTACTTTCTTTGGGAAACACCAGTGTATTTATATGCCATATGTAATTTGAAAAGAAATATAATCCATCTATATTAAAATAGTCTCAAAAGTGGTGACATTTTGAAAAAATACAGGGAAAAAATCATTGAGATATTGAAATTATGTCTCTAGATTGGATGTGGGTGTGTTTTAATAAAAATAGATTTTCTTCAACCACATGCCTACTTTATAAGAAGCACAGGGAAAGTTCTTTAAAATATCTTTATTTCTGCTTGAAAAGGTGTACTTAGTTTCTTAGGCTTAGAGTATTAGCATTTCTTACATTGGTTCTTAGTTTGGTTTTCAACACAATCACACCAATTATCCGAAAACTTAATTCTTCACTCTTTTTAATCCCAATCCTATACTTATTGTTTCAATACCTTTCT